CGCATTGGTCATTCGTGGAGCCAGCTGGGGAGGCATACAGAGAACACTGTGAAATGTGAATGTGCTGTTGAAGTCATAGGTTCCCCTCAGAGTTCAAGGGGATAATAAGGATAATAATTTTTTGATTATAGCTTGACTTCAAACCGTATTTTTGGTACAAGTATGGAATTTTCAGTATGTGATATCGGTAGCCCAATTTTGCAGGCCGACCATTGATATCAGGTGTGCGTCGGCAGGGGATTGGACCTCAGACCATGTGCATGGTCAGCGAGAGTCCTAACCGTTGTGCCACCGACGCACTGAAATTGAATTATCCAAGCTTCTATCAACTCTTCAGGGTTAAAAGTTATGAATCGTAGGATGATCAGAGTGCATCAATATTAACCTCTTTTTTCTAATTATATCTGAAAACCATCAAATGTCATTAAAGTGTTGAAAGGTACTTGTCAGTGGCACCAAACTCGGTTGTTAACATCTTGCAAATTATTATAATATTCATGGATTTGTTCTTGTGTGGTATCAATCGGTAGTATATACTATGTTGTATACGGGAACCATGCAAATACAAAAAAGGATTCATCAATGCATAATAGCCGACGATTAAACTCACTGAAGCTATTTAAGCATTCATCTATTGTATATATAACGTCTTAGTTTCCCTACTGTATTTACAGATATATAGGTACGAACCACCGAATCTTTCTCGAGTTCCGTTGATTAAGACGACAGTCCTTGCATGTGGTTGCCAGCAGTTACAAATCTTATGCCTCATGTAAACAGTTACAAAGTGACATGGGAATGAGTAGATTTTATGACATATATTATACAAATTTATAAATTTAGAAAACAGAAAGATTGAGCGAAGAAATATTTACTTTTCAATTAGATCCTCATCTCTGGCTCTACTCTAATATGTGTATATAGCATTTTTATTACAATACACAACAGTTTACCAATCAAGTGGCACTGATATGTTTGTTAACAATAATTAGTCAGCGTCAACATGTCAAGCATTGGGTTGATAATAAACGAAGAAAATCAATACACATTTAAAAGATGTTATCCTTGTAAAATTAATTTATTCTAATCATTTCTACCTTTTAAATGTGTATTGATTTTCTTCGTTTATTATCAACCCATTGACTTGTTGACACTGACTAATTATTGTTAACAAACATATCAGTGCCACTTGATTGGTAAACTGTTGTGTATTGTAATAAAAATGCTATATACACATATTAGAGTAGAACCAGAGATGAGGATCTAATTGAAAAGTAAATATTTCTTCGCTCAGTCTTTCTGTTTTCTATATGTCTCAATGGAGATTTTTTATATATTGAAATTTATAAATATTTTGATGTCGTTGTAATCCCTCATCTGGGTAGTTCAGTTGCTAAAGTTTCATTGTCTTCCTGGACAATATCTTCAGTGCGAGCTTTAATATGCAGTAGATTTATAAATTAGTAGTGTCTTCGACTTCATTTCTAAAATATACAAGACTAATGTGAGGGATAAACGCATGTTATCCATAGATGTATCATCACTACTCATGAATGTACCACTTATAGAAACGGTAGATTACATTTGTCAAGAAATCACCGAAAGGCGATTGGACTTCGGAATTCCTTTGTGTAGCCTAAAAGAATTACTTCTTAAATGCACAATGTATGTTCACTTTGTCTTGAATAATTCATACTACCGACGAGTAGATAGAACAGCTATGGGTTCACCATTAGGCCTGACTTCTTCCTTGCAAAACTTGAAAATGGGAAATTGAAGTATTGGTTTTGTAGGGATTTTGTGTGATTGCATGGAGGATTTCATCATGAGGTGACATCAGTTAGAGAACCACCGGAAGACCTGGGAGTACTGGACAGTCAGCTGTTTCGTCCTAATTCGGGACTATTCAGCATCACGAACCCACTGGGGTTTGAACCTAGGGCCTTCTGGTAACAAGGCGAGCTCGTAGACCATCGAGCTACTGGGACCCGATCCAATGGCCAATGCATGAATTCTTACTTCTGCCAATTCACGACATAGTGCGACCATTTCGCAATGTCTTCTTCAATGAGTTACTGCCTCATCTTCAAGGAGTTTGATATGTATTACCGATATTTCGATGATACATTCATCTTAGCTGATGGGAATTTAAACGCAGACGAGATGTTGCTGAAATTCAACAACGTCCATCCTTCGCTTACTTTTACTTGTGAAAGGGAGCAGGATAGTAAACTACATTTCCTGGATGTCTTGCTAAGTAGGAGAGAAGATGGGTCACCTGGAAGAAACGTGTATAGAAAAAGCACATTCACAGGGCAATACACACACTTCCTTAGTTACGTCCCCATTAAATATTAAAGAAATGTTGTTAAATGTCTTACGAGCAGAGCAAGAAAGATGTGTACCGATGACCTCTTACAAAAGGAATTTGAATATATTCACGATTCCTTGACGGAGATGGGCTATCCGAGTAGTTTCATAAAGAAACATATGAAAATATCAAAGAGAAAACCTTAGACTATGACTGCACGTAAGAAACCTCTATTTATTAAGTTAATTTAATGGTGACTTATCAAGTGAGATTCTATTCCAAAGACTTTCAAGGAGTATACGAAGAACATTTTATGCAGCATACCTATGTTTGTCATTCTCTAGCCGACGAATGATTGGGACGCAAACGAAGGATAAGCTTGATAGTTTTGCCACATCCATTTGCATTTATCAATTCAACTGCACCTGCGGTGACAGACAAAAACAATCCGTAGCTCAATTTTGTCACACCTAATTGACAGTGTTCATGTAATCGGGAAGACGAGAGCCTTCAAAGTAATTCATCGTATCCCACTGAATCTTTCCAATAGACTTCTTATTCGTTTACTGCACACAGCTTAGACAATAGGTATTCGAACTATTGAATCTAAATTATGCATTCAAAAGAGGTTAGTACAGCCATTATCCCTTCCTTTGGCCTATTAAGATATAACCAATTGATGACTTCTACACCACTCCTTATTTATATTTTCAACCCCTCTCTTATCATCCCTTAATCTTATCACATCTTAAAAACTTGTTTCATTTACTTCCCTTACAATCGAGCATTACTTAATCGGTTCATTTGTTTTCCTTAGCCTTTATCGACTACTTCTAACAGAACATTTGTTTGTTTAATCATGCTGTTTCTAATTATTCGGGTTATCACAGATTGCCTCACTTTTTCATCCTTATTATTGATAAAACCATTATTATTATTATAATTATTATTATCATTACTACTATTATGACTAATTGTACAATTTATATTCACCATCTCATTATCCTATGGACAGAACACCATGATTGTTTTATATTTGAATTTTTATTTGTAAAGTTATGTATATTAGAGTTAAGCCTGGTGAGATCTAATTGAAAACACAATATTGCTCGCTAAAATGCGTTGTTCTAAATTCATTGTAAAAACTGTTGGTAAGAGACACACTTAGTTTAACTGGAGATATAAATCTTGACTTCGAAGGTGGCATACTTAGTCGACACGCTCTAATCAACATCTTTTCGACCTTTCTAGCTATTAAATGACCAAGTTGTGTATGAGAATATTTTTGGGCTTAAAGATTTACCAAGATTGTCGTGGCGCTTTTACTATCGCTGAATCCCGATTTCTCACTAATCTATTCAATAGCAAATTTACAGGAAAATTCTTGTTGTCTGTGTATACAGTAATAATAATAATAGCTTTATTCCAAACAGTATTTGTGGTACAAGTATGGAATTTTCAGCGTGCATTACAATATTGCATCTAATTACCTCATAAATATTATAAGATTTTAAAAATGAAAAGCAACAACAACAAAAAGAAAAAAAGAGAAACAAAAGAAATAAAAAAGAACAGCATTGCAGTCACATATTTAAACAATGCACCACAGGATATGGAACATAAAATTAGTGTGTAATAGAATATGTGAGCAACAATATAATGGTAACAAAGAAAGGAGAACAAAAGCTAATGGGAACTATTTGTAAGAGTGCCGCAGTAAATTGATCGTGTCATACCTAACAGTTTTCTCATCACATAACAGCTGTGCCAGATAAGTTATTGTGGAGATTTTGTACTTGGTAGTCCTAGCATATAGCCTCCTATAGTTGCTTCTGGTTCTACCAGATGAAATGCAAGGAGAGAGCTGCGTATAGAGAGGGTGTTCGGGGTCTGACAATATAGAATTCGCTACTTTCTTACATGACATTATATGTCTATCCACAACGGTGTTAACCAGTTGGTTTGACGAAATCCCACTTGCCCTACTAACAGCTTTTACTGCCCTTCTCAGCAAAGCAAAGTCTTTCTTAAGTAGTCCAGGAAAGATTAATGGGGAACAGTAAAGAGGGATGGTTAGAATACAAGAGTTGACAAGTCAGATGACTTCTAGTGTGTGGATAAAACAGAATGACAAAGCTTAATTATTCAGTGGTGCATTATGTTATGCCTAATATTTGGTCTAACTGTGTAACTTCAATATCAATGCATTTAAAAAGTGAAGAGTAATCTTTGTAATTGGTTACAGGATTTCATTATGAGATGACATCGGTCAAAGAACCATAGGAAAACCTGCAGTGAGTACTGAATAGCCAGCTGTTTCGTCAGCCTAACTTGAGACTCTTCAGTAGTACGCAACCATCACCAAAGTTTGAACCCAGGACCTTCTGGCTACAAGGCGAGCCAGCTCGTAGACCACCAAGCCACTGGGACAAAGCAGCTGTCCAGTACCCCCGGCATGTTTTCCAGTGGTTCTCTAACCTGTGTCAGCTCATGATGAAATCCTGTAACCATATCAATCAAATCCCTACAAATCAATACTTGAACATAATCTTTGTGCTGACAGAATTCTCTATAGTGTTTCATATGTATTCCACACTTTCCGTTTTAAAGTTCAAAGTTCTGTAGATATCACAGAACAAACACGGATATCAAAAAAAAATAAATAAATGATCATCTACATACAACTCACCTAAACCATGAAGTACCAATTTGAATAGTGATAAATGTCCACCAGACCCAATATTCAATACCTGCTTAATATCTCTTTCATGACGTTTCTTTCGAAACAATCCATGAGTTATTGCATTCCCATAATTTTGACAACATCCAGCCGATTTCCTATGATTTACTTTTTGATCTGGTACACTCGGCTGATCATCCATTTGATCATCACTCTCTTGATCAGACATTGATTTACAATAATAGATTGTTTAACGGAGATAGACAAGAAAGAAAGAAAGAAAAACTCGCACAAAACGTTTTACTAAAACGTCTCTGAGTGACTTTTGAGCTTATAAACATTTGACAAAGAGTGTAAACCACACAATACACATCTCAACATCAGTATCAGTGTGTGAATTGTGATTGGTTGATTGATGCATATACATTCATATCATACATGTGACGTCAAATAACGAGGTATTGAAATAGATTTTTTTTGCAGACATCAAGACAGATAAAACTGTACTTTTACTGACTGAATTCAGAAACTTTCAATTTTTGAAGATAATATTTGTAATAAAAAGTGAGATAGGCTAAATATGTTCTCAGATAGTGTAATGTCCCCTTTGATTGTATCTGCTGTTTTCCATAGATCCTATTGTTTCTCAGCTATAAAAGAAAAAGACACACCATCACTGTAATAATGGTAAAGATAAAACCACTTTTAAGCTCCTTATTTAAGCAAAATCATTTGTTGTGTTGCTGATTTCATGTTTGGTGATCTTATATCCCTATAATCTAGCGACAATGATATTTAAGTTAATTTGTGTGTCGTTAAAGTATTCAGGATAAGGAAAAACATAGGCGGTCAGCTTTCTGCATAAACTGTACACTGTATCATTTTCATCTTCGGGCTTCTTGTAAAAACAGCTTTATGTCCTCAGATAGAAGCAGTTTCCACTTTGCAACGAGTATGGACAGTTTGGTTGTCATTTCGACTGAGAGTGCTTCCTAAAGAAAGACTAAGCACATTGTATTATTATTCTTGTTCCTTTGGGTTCTGAATGGAACATAGGGCTTCAACAACACATCTAAATTTCATCGGGTACAATGCAGTCCCTTGTGTTTCACTGCAACATTAACCATAAGCTCTTATCTCCTCCTCAAACTGCCTCCATCATGTCACCCTGAATGCCAACCCCAATTCGTTGTTTCCCATTCTGGTTCTACTCGAGCTTTAGTCTGAACAGAGTGTGATGCCACTCAACGATCTCATCAGCGTATATCCAATTTATTTCTTTGTGCCATCTTTTTGTCTGTAGGCTCTTGGTTGACTTGTCGACAGAGTTCCCTGTTGCTAATAGTTCCTGGCCGGCCATCTGGTATACAGTATCGAGATGGCGAAGACAAGTGTTGATGAAAGTCTGCAGCTTGTTGCAAATGTTTTTGGTGACGCTTCAAGTCTCTAAATCGTATAGAATGACTCATTTCACATTAGTGCTGAAAAGCCGAATCTTGTTACACGCCCAGATTCCCCACAGTGGTTTTAGAGTAAGGAACGTTTGTCTCTCTTTCATCATCCAATCTTGATTGGCTTTCAACATCTTGATCTGTGCTGCCTGTAATTGAAATAATGTTGCCTATATGAGTGAACGAAGTGATCTTTTTCAAATTTATTTATCTGCAGGTTGTTCTTTTCTGGCTGACAGTGTGCTAGAATTGTCTTTTGTCTTTTCTAGCACTTTTCTTTACTTCTTTATTTAGTGCTAAATACATTGAACTTGCCTTCTCCTTCTGTTACCCATCTTTGCGCTGAGTCACCTTCTCTTTCGTTACCCCTATCTCCTCTATTAGTATCCGTAGGGAGCTATCCCTTGGCTTGTCTCTTCTTCCTTCTTAAGACGGCTGCATAGGTTTCCTGGAACATCGCTTTCAGAGAGTTCCAATGTTCTTCCATACAGGTTTCCTCAGTGATACTACATTATGTCACCAGCTTTGTTCTGATAGCTGCAATGAATATGTCTTTTGTAGTTCTGTCCTTCAGTGTCTGAGTACTGAACTTGAATTGTAGTCTATCTTTGGTTGTTTTTAAGAGTTTCAGCTTGACCTTCAAGATTCCATTCACTGGATAATGGTCGGAGCCTAAATCGGCCCCCATTCTCGACCTTATGTGCAATAGACTGTATCTCCACTCTCTTGAGCAACATTGAAGTGAAGTCTATCTGGCTTTCGGTGTTTTCGTCAGGTGACACTTTTGTTGGCTTCTGTACATCTTTGTGTTTGTGCATGCTACCTCCAATTACCTGGAGGTCCATACTCATTCGTTTTGTTGAGATCCTCCTGACTTACTGTGAGTTCTCTTCCTATGTTGTTTGCTCCCATTTTAGCATTCATATCAACCATTAGCATTTTGATGTCGCCACTCAAAATTTTATCCATTACCGTTTGTAGATGTTTGTAGAAATCTTTCTTATTTTGCGGTTAGCATTGAATAATTGTAAATTTCCCTCCTTTTTAGTTGAATCTTGCTGTGGTTAACTTTGAGGCGATTGTATCCTATTGCGTAAGAGCTTTGGCTGCTGTTGGTAGCATCATCATTGTCACTGCCTTAGTATGCTCGTGATTGGTTGATTTCCCTATCCTATCGGTCAAACAAGTATTATAATGTAGTTGATTGATATCAGGGAAACTGTATTACGTAAACAGGCTACCAATCAAATCATTCTGGTACACAGAATAAATGAACATCAGCAAATATATATCATACTGTTCCTGGTAGTCAATACATTGTCCTTTATACGTATGATGTGACGTATAAACAGATTGCCAACCGAAAAGAATACAAATATTCATCAGGGAGTCAGTGAATTCCATCAAGATAAGTGATGCTTGAACTCTGTTCTGTATGACACGTGTGTTGTAACAAAAGCGTAATTTCTCACTAAAATTCTGGCCTCAGTAATTCAAGTGTTCTCATAGTTTATTCAGAACAAGCATAATTAGACGTGAAAAAGTGTTGTCAATAAGTTATTCTACAGGCTATACAGTTAGAAATCTAATTAATGCTATTGTGTAATGGCCATTAAAGACAAATTAAAATATTATACCACAAGATGTATTGTAGTACAAGTACAATATGGAATAATAGTCAGTTAGTTTTGATTATCGTTGAAATGTATATAAAATGTGCAGCCGTTAAGAAAGTGGGATGAACTGAGATGAAATTAGTGGTTGAGCTGTTCATGAATTTATAATCATTATTATTGTTTCCTTTAATTCCTAGAGGAACACAGGGCTTCAGCGGTGCGTCTCCATTGCGTTCGGTTCTCTACTAGAGTCTTCACCATGCTCCAAGTCTGCCCACACGTTTTCATCTCTTCTTCACATCACCTCCTCCAAGTTACCCACCCTCGCACTGACGACCAACTCGCCTATTCCCTTTCGGGTTCCACTCGAGCAATGGCTTGTCTAGTGATGTCACTTGATGGTTTCCTCAGAGTATGGCCAGCCAATCCATCTCCATTACTTCCTGCCTATTTGTTTCACAATCGGTTCCTGGTTGGTTCGCTCATTGCCAGAGATCCCTCCCTGTTGCTGATCTTTTCTGGCCATCTGATCCTGAGTATTGAGCGAAGACAACTGTTAATGAGGGTCTGTAGTTTGTTTGAGGTGGTCTTTATGAAGCGCTGGCCAAGTCTCTGATCCGTATGTTAAGTAGCACTGACTTCACATTGGAGTTGAAAATCCGGATCTTATTTTTGATGCTGAGTGCTGTTGACCTCCACACAGACTTGAGAGTAGTGAAGGCTTGTCTTGCTTTTCCGATTCTTGCTTTGATATCCTCATCAGTTCAGCCCGCCTGTAGTTGAAACGATGCTTCTCCGGTAGGTGAAGGAGGTTGTTTCTTTCAGGTTCCTCCCATTTTCGCTGATTGTTGTCTGTTGGTGGTTTTGCTGTTGGTGGTGTTGGCCAGGAATCTTCATCACCTCTGTTTTCTCTATGTTCACCTGAAGTCCTATCTTCTCTGGATGCTTCTTCTGCCAACTTGTTACTTTTCACTTTCATATCTTCCAGTTTGTGGGAAATCAGACATATGTCATCATCGGCGGAGTCCAGATCCTCCAAGTATTTTGTGTGAGTCCATTTTATGCCTGTTTCCTCATTCCCCACTGTTTGTCACATTATCCAGACTAATGCAATCAGGAAAATCATTGGCGATAGTAGGCAGCCTTGTCTTACTTCTGTCCTCACTTCGAAGGATTCCAGATCCGAATTTATAATCAGCAAAGATATAATTTTCAAAGGGTAATTTATAGTTATTGTTATCAAATACAGTATACATATAAACAAATAAACAGTAGGAGGGAATGGAGACGGATTGGATATATGTTGTGGAAACGGCTGAGTGACATCACATTTTCTGCAGGCCATAGCTCAAGTAGAACCTGAGTGGGAAACGACAAGGTGGGCTTGACAGTCAGGGTAGCTTGGAGTAGCTGGTGTGTGAGGAGGAGATAAGAACTTATGTGCAACCTTGCAGTCAAATGCAAGAGACTACAGTGTACATGGTGAAATGTAGATGCGCCGGTGAGACCTTCTGTTCCACTTGGAAGGCAAGAGAATAATAATAATAGTAAACACATTAGCACCATTGGTGAACGATTATCAAGAGTTTTTATATGATGGGAAGAATCTCAGCATGAGTACAGAGGGCTAGTTTCGCATATGCCAGTTTACGACATCTCTGGCGTAGACGTGATATCCGGCTACCGACCAAAGGGCGTGTGTACTGCTCAGCAGTCCGCTTCGTCCTGACCACTGAGAGCGGAAGACATGAAAAGATTAGCTGTCTTCGATCATAGGTGTCTGCGTTCTATCTCCCGCGTGAAGTGGTATAATAAGGTGAGCAATATTGAGGTTAGGCGTCGAGTGCTAGGTAAGGACGGGGGGTGAAATTACATCGACTGAGATCGTTAAGACATGTGCTACGTATGCCTAGTCATCGCCTTCCTCGACGGGCGATGTTAGCTGATATAGGGTCAGGCTGAAAAAGAGCTAGCGGCGGTCAAACGAAAACATGGCACCAGTCAATGAAATCTGCAACAGTTAGTCGAAGCCACGTAGGAAGGTGTAGACTGGCTTCCTGGTTGGAGTCCTCGGGACGGTAAAAACCAATGGTTGGAAACAATTGGTGACATGGCTCAAAATCGTTCTCAGTGGCGCAGATGCATCCACTCCTTGTGACTTATGATTTCCAATGAAACTGTTTTGTTCTTCGTTATTACTGTTCCTTTGTCTCACACCTCTGTTTACTGTCTATATTATGCATTTCTCCTACTTTGTTCTCTTGCTTTGTGTGCTACAAGGAGGGAGTGTGGCGACTTGAACTGCCGCACATCAGTTCACAATTCTATGTTGAAAATAGACAGACAGACATATGATGGGAAGAAAAAGATTGTGTGTGTGTGAGTGTGTGTGTTCACTTCACTAAATTTATTATTTTATTTGATAATCTTTCATTAATGGCACTTTTAAGTTTACATCAAATCATCGTTATTATTTCACTATTATTACTGTTATTTGTCAACCTTGAACTGACGACATCTAGCCTACCCCATTTTTTATAAAATAATCCCAGCGTAAATACCCATTGAGTCATGAAAAACATAAAAGATAGATTCAGCGAGGAAAATTTTCTTTATCGACGAAATCATCTTCAGAGGCTGTAGAGTCGTATTTATACTTACAAAAATATATAGTGGTCTACTTTTGAGTAATACGGGGTGACATAATTGATGTAATTACTCAGAAGTGGCTTTAGAAGTGAAAATTAAAAGTTGTAAATTACGTGGTACTCAACGGCACAAAGATAGAAATTTGATAAGGTTAAAATTGCTATTGAGTTATAATAAAGGTATTTGAGTGTCAATTTAACAAGTGTGAAGAGGGTGCGAAAATATACAAAAGGAGCATATGAGAGTGATAATAGTGAATCAATTATTAAAGCAAAAGCAAACTAAAAGTAAGATTAAAAATTACAAAATAGAAAAGAAATCGATGGGGAACTGGGGCGACTTAGACAAGTCCTCATAGAGAATAGATATCCTCCAAGATTTATCGAGCAAAACATGAAGTTAAGGGAAAAGCCTGAAAGAATCCAGACGGTGCCAAAGAAACTGCTATTTATGAGTGTTGAATTTAAAGGTGATACCGCAGCTGAGATCCTAAAGAATCGCTTATGCAGATCACCGAGGAAAGCCTTCTTTATGGCTGAGCCACGTATCAATTTCTACAGCTGACAAAGGATCAACGGATGTGTGAAGGATAAAATGCCGCTTTGGGCCACCTCGATGTGTGTTTATAAATTCACCTGCTCGTGTGGAGCTATTTATATTGGCCGCACAAAGCGCACACTTTCCAAACGCATCTCTGAACATTGTCCGGCATGATTAGCAAAGGGACAGTGTAAGACTAGCTTAATTCTCGAGCATTTGGTGAACTCAGACCACGTAGCTCCACCGGAGTCGTCTTCCAAGATCATATACAAAGTGAAGCCAAATGGTACAAAGGGCGTCAGGTTTCGGGTTTTGTGTATGGCGGAGGCACTGGCAATTCATCAATACAACTCTGAACTCTGTATACAGAAAAAGTTTGTCCAGTTTCTTATTCTACCTTGGTCTTAACCTTCTCACTAATCGTTTCCTGTTAAAAAATTCTGATTTTGTAAGTATAAATACGACTGTACATCCTCTGAAGATGATTTCGTCGATAAAGAAAATTTTCTTTGCTGAATCTGTCTTTTATGTTCTTCATAATTCCAGCGTGTTCAAGAAAAAAATCAAAACACGACAAGATTTTTCTGAACATTTCTGTGTGCACGCTACCACAACTTCTTCAGCAACAGAATTATTCGGATTTTATTATTAAACACATTAAAATACATAGTGAAAATTTTTAACACATATTGCAGTCAGTTTATTTGAAGGTCACTTGTCGATAGACAGTTTTACCTATAGAAATGTGTATAAGCAGTCATCATATATAATTTTGTAATGACTAATGCCAAATTCTATTGATATTTATAATTAACTGTTTGGCATTTTGTGACTGTTAAACACAAACTAATATCTGTGATTGTGCAATATTATTGGATTTACATGCCCAAGTTGACCCTAAGTCAGTGAGTCTATGGTTTTGATATCATTTTTGTTAAATGTATTTGACAGTGATACTAGTGCTACGGTTTTTTGTTGTTGTTCTTGGTGTGGTTTTTTCTTTGTTGTTTCGACTGCTTTATTTCTTGTTTTCCTGATTTTAAAGAGAGCAACATGAAAAGTCGCTCCTCTGTAACTCACACACATATGTAACAAACCCCTTTCCAGGGGTAAGGCTGGCAACCACACCCTACAAACAGAACTGATACAGAGACTTCAGTATGAATGAGTCTCCTTACGACAAAAGAAAACGTCTTTGTGAGAACATGGAACGTCCGCACCATGTACGAAACTGGCAAAGCTGCCCAGATCGCAAATGAGATGAAAAGATATGGTATTCAAGTGCTGGGAATATGCGAAAGCTGATGGAATGGGAGTGGACTCATCAAGTTGTAAACGGGAGAGTCAGTGATCTACTCCGTTCACCCAGAAAAAAACCACACGCACACCGAGAGCGTGGCTATCATGATGTCACCAACGGCAACGAAGGCCCTGATGCAATGGGAGGCGATCTCGCCCAGGATAATGACCGCCAGATTCAACTCCAAAGGAAGGAAAGTGTCAGTTATACAATGCTATACACCCACAAACAACACAGACCTCGAAAAGAAAGAAGAGTTCTACAGACAACTACAGGGAACAATGGACAATAGTCCAGCTGGTGACACTAAAATACTAATGGGAGACATGAACGCCAAACTGGTACCGGACAACACAGGAAGGGAACTCATCATGGGTAGAGAAACACATGGAGAGATGAATGAAAACGAAGAACTCTTCTCTGACTTCTGAGCCTTCAATGAACTAATGATTAGAGGAAGCGAATACAAGCACAGGGATATCCACAAGGCTACATGAATGTCACCAGATGGGCGAACCGAAAACCAAATTGACTTCATCTCAATGCTGCTCAAGGCAGTGGAGACGCAGCTTACTGGACACAAAAGTGAAAAGGGTAGCAGAGGTTGACTCAGACCACTATCTCGTGCAAGGAACACTCCAAATCAAATTAGAAGCTTTCAAGGAAACGGGAGCTACAGATAGACCACAAGCCAAGTTCAATACTTAAAAGCTGAAGGATCTGGCCACAAAGGATATCTTCACTGCAATCATAAGGAAAAAGACGGAGACACAAATCAACACTAGCGAAGTGACCAGTGTTGAAAAACACTGGAACAACTTGAGGGCAGTGTGGAGTCAAACATACATGGAAGTTCTAGACAGAAAGAAGAGACAGGACAAACAGTGGCTCACTACAAACACATAGAGACTAATAGAAGAGAGAAGGATGGTGAAATAAAAGATTATCCACTGCATCGATGGGCAACAAAAGCAGTAGTTGAATGCAAGCTACAATACATTGAACAAAAGAGTAAAGAAGAGTACCAGGGAAGACAAAAAATATGTATTATGAAGCTATGGCAAGTGAAGCAGAACAAGCTGCAGTGCAGTGAACAACTAGGTTCCTATCGGGGAACAGAACAACAGAAATTAAGCCAGTGAAGGATGACAAGGGGAAGTCAATCATCAACGAGGTGGAGCAAAGGAAACACTGGGCTGAACACTTCAAGAGACTTTTTAATCGACCGCCACCTACAACGCTCCCAATAATACCAGCAACGGAAGCAGAACTACCAGTCAACATCAACCCACCGACGAGAACAGAAGTCCTGAAGGCAATCAAGATGCTATTAACTGGAGAAGCAACAGGACCAGACGAAACCCCAGCAGAAGCATTGAAAATGAACCCAGAGACATCAGCGAACTTGATGACACCACTACTGGAGAAGGGATGGAAAGAGGACAAGGTACCCACGGATTGTAGAAAGGCTACTCTTTTCAAATTGCCAAAGAAAGGAGACCTAAGTCAATGCAAGAACTGGCGCGAAATTATGCTCCTGTCCATCTCAAGCACAATCCTAAGCCGCATGATCCTGGAGAGAATCAAACAAGCCCTGGGTGAAAAACTTCGACTGGAACAGGCTGGATTCAGGAGAAATAAGTCATGTATTGGTCAAATCGCCACATTACGGATCATCACTGAACAAAGCTTGGAATGGTAGTCACCTCTCTATCTCAACTTCATTTACTTTGAAAAGGCCTTCGACAGCATCGATCGAGAGGTGATTTAGCAACTACTTTGCTTCTACGGAGTGCCACCAACAATTATACACCCCATCCAACAGTTGCACAACAACGCCGCATGCCAAGTAATCCACAACGGGAAACTCACGGAATCCTTGTAAGTTAAAATGTGCAAGGCTTCAGAAGTCAACCCGTCTTTATGTGACTGAAAGCATCTTTTTAGAATTTCGACACTGCCGAAATTAAACTTATGTCCCCAGTATTTCGCATGCATTGCTATAATCGATCTTTTCTTTAGACTTTTTAATTCTGCTTCATTTCTAGGTGGACGTTTTGTGCATAGTCTATGTTCATTCACTCTGACCTCCACCTGTCTACTGTTCTCCCCTATATTGCAAGCTTCACATTCTGAACACTTTATCCTATAGTCACAATTACTCCTTGACATTTTGCGAACGCCATCTTTGACATTCACCGAAGCTTTCTCTAGAGAATTAGAGAAATAGACTTTATTATTATATGAAGCAAATAGTCTTTGAAGTTGTTCAGCTGTCTGCTTTCGATATGAAATGGCTATCATCGATAGCCAAGACTTTTCTTCCCTTCAGCTCCTTTCCATTGATGATATTATCTATTAGCTTTTCCGGATAACCATTTCCATTTCAACGGACGTCTTTCCACAGCCGCTAGCGCTCTTGACATCATTGGCATTATCCATTGCAAGACTGGAAGCCTTATAATGAAGTAATATCCAAGGGACATTATTGAAGAATTCAACTTTGGCCACTCACCTTCATCAGCTTTTAGAAATGAAAGGTTGAGATTCACGTGACCATTAGTATTATAATTGCGTAATGACTGACTCGATTGACAATGAAACGCATCAACAAACAATTTCAAATCGATTAATTCATCTAACCATTGGTTTTGCTGTTCATGTTGTTGATCACGTAATGCACAAACTTCATCTGGAGATGTATAGAAACTGCTAACAGCTATTGTGAATTGAGCATTCTTTAAAATATACAAATTCTTTTTGAATAAAAATATTTGCATAAGTGAAGATTTTGTTAACAAATCACTTTTTTTGAAAAAACTTTGATCGGATAGATTGATACTTTGAAATTTTATGCATAAAACATGTTGCAGTGGAATCTGCATAACCTGCAGATAGTACTTGTACTGCAGTGAAAGTTGGATTCAACAAACAGTTATCCTTTGTCGACAATGTGTTGTTCAGCTCACGACAAGTTGGAAATATTTGCTGTCGACTCATTTAACCTCCTTTCTTTAAAATCACTTTACTTTTAGCACCATCTGCAATTGCACATGAATTCGTCGGTGAGGGTAATAATCATATATGTGTAAGACTTGGGCATTGTGGTAGTAAGTAATTCCATATTAGTTTGTTTATTAGATGTATCACACAGTAAAACAGTATTATTATTTACTGGATGACAAAGCTTCGAATACAATTTATTGTTCATAATCATATCAATTATAATCACACGACTTCGAAACTTGAGTTTTATAATTTTCTTTGTTCTCTCCTATTTGTCGTCGTTGGGGTAGTAGAATTTTCCAGATGTATGGGTGGACACGTGTTGAATCGTTACTATTACACGTATTTGCAGTTGATTCGATAAACAAAGCTCCCGTGATCAATCTCTCCCTCCCCCCAGCTGTTACATTAGATTTTAAAACTGTCATCTTATCCCATCATCCTATTTTATGGTTGTGTGTAATTGAATGTGGTGAGTGCTATAACTGAACTATTCTCTAGATTCGTAGCTTATTCGGGTCAACTAATCTAGATTTTGCTAGTTTTTTGTACTCGGCTAGTCTGACTGCCCCTGTTATACTAGTTTGACCTATGTATTTGACCTGAAAATCATTGCAGAGTATCAGATGAACTAAATTGTTTTGCTTAGTGGGCTGTTCCACAGGATCCTTTAACTGACAAAGCTTGTTTCTAATGGAGTTTACGGGTGCCTTGAATGCCAGCCACATTTATTCTTGCCTTGTTAGTAATTCTGTGTAAGGTTTCCGAGGTTCTTTCTTTGTATGGAATTACTACTGATGATTTAATTTCCCTCTTCTTGGTGTTGTCATTATCCTTCGCATGTTTGACATACATGTCGTCATTAATATTATTATTATCATCATCACTATCACTATTATCATTATTTATTTTATTTTAACATTTCCCTACATACTTTCTGACTAATTTATCAGGGTAATTATTAAGTTTCAAAGCTTGTCTTCTTATATGCCTCACTTTCTGTCTTAGATTTTCCTTGGCACTACATATATTTTGTGCTCTATTGGTTAAACACTTCATCAATTTCCAGATATCTGGAAAATTCTACTACCCATACGATAAATAGGAGAGAACAAAGAAAACTATAAAACTCAAATTTCGAAGTCGTGTGATTAAAACTGATGTGATTATGATCAATAAATTGTGTTCGAAGCTTTGTCATCCAGTAAATAATAATACTGTTTCACTGTGTGATATATCTAATAGACAAAAATAATATGGAAGAGGGTAATAATCCTTTTCCAGACAGCGTGTTGTACAGAATAATATCTGCTGTCTATATTCATCACATGAATCACAAGGAGATTGAATCTTACAGTAGACGGGGGAGTGTAGGTCTATACAGCATGGTACAATTGTTGCTAAGATTATCACGACTACGTAGAGAGACAGTATGCAGCACCAGTAACAACCAAAATTTAGTATCATTTTTAGCTAAACAGTTGAAAGCTTTAGTGGGATCACCCGCCGCACTAGTTAGATCACAGTTTTCGAATACCCAACCAGGTGCAAATAAAGCCATCAATAAAGGGTGGTCAAGTTGGGAAGCAATTGTGAGACAGTTGAGCAACATCAAGCACCACGGAAACCCTCAGGTGGAGCGCGAACGGCAAACAACCGGTTAGCTGTCCGATGATGACATGCATGAGATAGTGTGAAGAAGAGATGGAAGTCTGTCGAGCCAGATTTACGTCTAAGATAAGTTTGAGAGATCCAACAGTACTGAAACCACCCCCGCCAATACACTCGAGATCAAAACAATCAGTACTAACTTACACTTTGGTTGACATTGTTGCATTAATAACAATTTCTTGCGTTCTTTGTATATATGTATGTATTGGCGTCGGTGGCATAGTGGTTAGGACGCTCGCCGACCATGCACATGTTCCGGGGTTCGATATCCGACCGACGCACTCCTTTACCTCGCTAAGCCCGAATTATTGCTGGTGAAGACGAAAGGTTGGGCATGAGGCTAGCGACCCCATCCTGTAAAATAAACACTGCTACAGAAACTTCAAGCCACTAGGTTGAAGCCCTATGTTCCACTGGGGAATGTGAAGGGAAAATATTTATATATGATTAAATTATTTCATCTCATCTCATGTTCTCATTGCCCATGCGTACTCAAAAACTAACTGACTGTTGTTCCGTCCCATCTTATACTTATTCCACAATACAATTCTGATATGATTCTAATTTGCCTTGCCTAGTTATTGTATGCTTAAATTAATGGATTTATCTTCAGGTTTGAAATCTGTATACATAAGAATAAACTTAAAGTAGGCACTTTTTATCCCTTCCCTAAAGAACCTCTTTAATTCTGTTACAGTCATAATGTGTCGGGTGCTACTGATAAGATTTATCAGTAGTATATAAAGAGACGTTCATCGGTATAGAAACACCAAATAGCAGGGCGATACATTTGATTTCAGAGAAGTCAAATGATACAGTGTTGTGGAGATACATGCGACACGTGAAAGGAACACAAAGAAACGCAATATGAAGTTCAGAAGTACCACAACATGGAGATCTGTGCAAATTGTGCGTTGAAGATAAGGTGCACATAACTTGGTTATATAGAGATACCAAGTCTTCGCCTTCAACCGTCTCAATAATACATCTATTATTCATTGCAATTCACATTTCATCTTACAAATTTTAGTTTTCCATTATTGGACACCATTTTATTATTCTACTCTAATTTTTAATTTTGTTTGATTGTTTGAAGGATGTCATCATGAGCTGACATCAGTTGGAGAACCATTAGAATACCTCCATGGAGTAGTGGATAGCCAGTTGTTTCGTCCTCGTTTGGTACTCCTCAGTGTTTCGCACACACCATCAAGGTTCAAACCTAGGACCTTCTGGTTACAAGGCTAGCTAGCTCGTAGACCATTAAGCCATTCGCTGGCACCCGATACAATGGTCAGTCCACGAATTTTAACTTTTGCAAATCCATGGCATAGTGCGATCAATTCACAATCTCTTTTTCAATTAGATACTGCCTCACCTTGAACCTTACTTCAGTTTGAAACACATCATTGTCTGTTAACTACTTTCATATGGAATATTTTTTTGCAATTAATTTCAAGTACTATTTTGTAGGGTTTTGATTTATTTCAACTGTAATCACGTACTGATGTCAGTTAAACAACTATGAAAATCCATCAGGGACTACTGGACAGTTATCTCGTCGTATTCGGGTACTCTTGAGCAGTACACACTCATCACCAAAGTTCTAACCCAGGACCTTCCTGTTACAAGGCAAGGTCACAGACCAGTAAGCCGTGGGCACCCAACTTGATGACTAGTTCATGAATTCTAACTTCTACCAATTCGTGATTTCAGCGAGACTGACACTAGGCAATGTCATCAGCGGCAATTATTTATCCTTACTCTCAAATTTTTGCTGGTTTGAACTAATTCAGTCCTTTGACCTGCATAGAACCAAGTACACTGCTGATGAGCTTACCCAACCCTCCGCCCCGCCCTCCCCCTTTCGAAATGAGTGAAATATCCCACTGGGGTGTGCATAACTTCGATCCGTCTAACAGGCGCTACTGTTTGAAGGCGATTGGTTACCGACTACTCATTAATTAGTCAGTAGTATGCAGTGTAACAAGTGTACAGAATTACTGCTAGTTAAAGATAACTGCTTTTCTACAAAGGTGGGCTGGAGGGGAGAGAGGGTGGCGGTGATAGTGGTGGTGAAAAAGTTACCCTATAAAATGATTTTATGACTAATCACCTTGTAAATACTTTCGAGAATGATTTCATTTCTATTCTGTTAATTAGTTTATTAGACTATTTCGTGTGCCTACGCGTAGAATTTTAAATCTTGTCAATCAAATAAGAAGGTGTATCCCCTACACTTTACAACTCACAGAGATATTATGCCTTATGCTACACCCTATTCACAATACAGAAATAAATTAGCACAACTGAAATCCATACCAACTTGAGAAGCGAAGAAAAAAAATGGAATATTCGATTGGGGTTTTTTTTTTGTTTTAATTTTCATTCCTCCACTATATTATGACGTTATAAAAAAATGAAATATTCTTTCCTTTTTAGAAAAATTTATTTTTAACATATAGTAACATTCGTTTGCACTTGTTTCATAATTGGAGTTACACTATTTATGGTTATAATGTATTACCAAAGTATATGAAGAAAAAAAGACGAGGTGAATTAGAGATTCCCGCGCAAAAATTCAAATTAAAGGTATGCGTCAATCAAACATGTTATATACACACACGAGGCATATGATTTAATTTCAATGGAATTTGCAGCTGGGAGGGGGGGTTGGCGTTGGATGCTCTTTTTCTTCTTTTTGGCTGTTGGTAATTATTAATCTGATGATATTCTGTGTGTTGGTTGATCTGGATCACTAAGATAACTATTTGGATATTTTTTATTTTCGTGTAGATTGTTGTTATTTTAAAAAAAAGTAATATGATAGAGTTTTGCATAAATTCATCACAATGAATAATGGTGAAATCTTATTGTGTTGATTTTGAAAGAGTCAGTTTGTAGGGATTCGATTTGTCTCAAGTTTGACCACGGATTAATATCAGTTAGAGAACCATTGAAAACTAGCTGGGTATACTAGATTACTGTTTTATCCTAGTTTCGGACTCATCTGCAGTATGCACTCACCGTCAGCGTTCGAATTCACGACTTTCCGATTAAAAGGCGAACTCGTAAACCATCCAGCCAGTGGTCGTGCTAAAATCACGAAGTGGTAGAAGTTAGAATTTATCAGCCTTTGAGTTGAATCCCAGTGGCTGAATGGTCTATGAACTCGCCTTGTAACTAGAATGCCCTAGATCCAAACCTT